GTGATGTTCATGCATTTCTGCGAGTTCGATCCAACGCCACTATGTAATCCAGTAATATTCTAGCGACGCATTTTTGATTGTGGAATCGAAACAAGTTAAACGTTCACCTAATGATCCAGTTTTGGTTTTTTTTTGATGCTGCTCTTGGCGCCCTTCTGGTATGGCGCCTGTATGTTCATAGTTGCATGTTCTTACAGTACTGTTATGATGCAAACAATCTCAGCATACCAATCGAAAGTAAACTTCAACACTCCACATAAATGAGTGCTTCTTAATGCAATGCTATGTGTACTGTTCGATAGCATACGATTCAATGTTTTCATGCACTCTCATCGAACTAATTTATGGGAATGCTTTTTGATCGAGCAACTACGCTTACAATGATGTTGCACTCCAACGATCACACTAACTTAACAATAATTTTAATTCATACTTTTTCCTAGTTAGCAGGAAGATAATTTATAATGTGCAATTCATGTCAATCCGTTTCTTATCTCTTGCTCAATTGAGTGCCAATCTTCCGCGTTTTAACAAATTCAACGAGTCAAGAACATAGTATCACATTTTTTGATGGATTAATTCACGTGTTTTTGATTAAATGTAAACTGACTGAGCAGTCTTTTCATTGATGATTTTTGATTTCTTGAATATGACCTTAATGCGTTGAACTGATACACCGATTGCTGTTATATCACTGATAACAAAGAAATGTTTGATAGATTTGTAGTGTTTCGGCTTATTAAACCGTTGAACTAATGAAAATGCGTGCATTTGATGATAGTTTAGCATGTTTGTAATTCATTTTCCGAACTCCAACTTCTTCCATTCATAAAATAATTATTTCCATCGTCCTCAGTCAACTTTTCTGCTCATCATTCACCTTTTATGTGAATAGAAAAATATTTATTTGCGATTTTTGTTCCATTTCATTCATTTCTCTTTAGAATTGCATTTATACGAAAGATTCCATGTATTTTCCACTCATTCATTCAGTCACTATTTTACTGCATAATAACGGTTCAATAAACCGAAACGTTGGATATTTAACAAATATTTCGTTGCTCTATATTAGTTTTGCAATATGCATTATGGTTACATCCAAAAAAGCGTTTCTCATCAGTACTACTCATTTTACGCCTTCGAGATGTGATGATCATTTAAGACAAGCCTTCTCACCCGTTCTCTCAACAACACGCTGAAATAATTTCTCTGGCAACTATTCATACCTTAACATCACAAAGAGATAATTTGAGGTTCTCACTAGATGAAACATGATCCATTAAGAATTGATCTTCACTAAAATCAGTTTTACCTTCGATAATCACTGCACCAAACACTACACGACATGTTTCAAGAACTTCAGCGCTGATTGGTGCTGAACCGATAGCCATGAATTGTACTTTACCTCCGAGTTTCGCCTGAAAATAGTATGTTACCATCACGGAATATGTCTGCCTCTAGAGGTTGCAACGAGAACCAGAAAAACGATCGGTCAGTTCATAAGAAACAGAGTTAAGACAATCCTCTCACCTGTAACCGTTGAAAAATCAGTTTATCCCATATTGTATCGTTGCAAATTATTCCTTCTTTCAACATTGCCAACTTCTTTTGATAAGCGTAATTGAATAGCGCTCGTACCACTGGATTTCCTTTTTTCAATTTCACCTTCAAATTAGCTTCCACGACTTATGAATTTCGAAACCCAATCAAATTCAGTTGCATTTCAACGCTCGAAAAACTGTGAGTGAAATACTGAATTATGTACCAGAGGAATCAAATAAATGAAAGTTTAGCAAATGATCAGGGAAAATTTGAGTGCCTTGGTCCTCTCGAAGTGCATATAAAATACTGAAAATGGCTTCAAGCACCGGCGATCTGAAGAAACATCACTACCGACCGCATTATCTTAAGTTTTCTGTTGAGTTGCGCTCATGCATTATCGAAAACAGTCACTTACAAGCTAGTGAATAACGTTCATGATTGCTGTGTGAACACACCTGAATGAGATCATAGAATCGATTGAGCAGTCTCGGAACAACAGGTAACAAATTTGGTTGAATATCGGCTAGATCTTCGGTTAGTAACTGTATGTTGCCACTGTAATACGATGTGGAGCCACCAACCAGGAACGTAAACCAGTGACACATTTGTTCGAACATATGCGACAGAGGCAAGTAAGAGATCGTTGTAAACTGCAAAAGTCCACTTTTTGTAGTGCTTTTTTTTGAAAAGTTTGGAAGCAGTGCTCGGACGATAAGGCATCATTACCTTTAAGAAGTGAAACGAAAACTTCACTCACTGGGTTATGCAGGAAAAAATCCGGCGAAAATTTTTTCAGCAACAGATAGAACGCTGATAAATTGGCGACAATGTTTCTGTGTGATATGATAACACCTTTTGGAAATGATGTTGTACCACTTGTATAGCTGTAAGCAACGTTCATTTGATTGGAATGAAGAAAGTACTTGAATTCCTGGTCTAATTAATTACTTTCACTTCTTTCACATTACTTTGGCATGTTCGAATCATTGAGACTAATTCAACTTGAGATTCGATCTTGGCTCATTTTCAGCCATCAGAAAAAGTATTAGAAATTTATTGCTGTCATAAGGAAAGACATGCCGAGATGTATCAAACTATGATGTGTATTACCAAATGATGTATGTGTTTTGTGGTTTCGGAAGATTCATTTCTGCAATATCGTTGTGTCCTTCTTTCAGAATCTCGTTGAAGGTGTAAATCTGTAAAGTTTGATGTTATAAGACGAATGATAGCATCCAAACACCCGGTCACATAGAAAATCGCACGTGAAACAATTTCTGCCTCTATTGAATATGGCGTTAAGGCAATCATGGCTATGGACAAAGCGATTATGTTCTGTAAACATATTACCGTTCCCAATACTACCTTCTGCACTTTTGAACAAGAATGAGTTTTGGTGAAATGTATTCACTAATAAACAATTTTTATACGTAGTCGTTTGAAAAATATTATCATTTGGGTTTCGATGAAGGAGTGGGGCTGAGGTACGGGTCGGTATTCCTTGTCTGTAATAAGTGTAACTGGATGAGTGAACGACGAAAATTCCAAAAATAAATCATTTAGCCGATAAAACAAACTTACTTGAGCGGTTCGATAATTCTCTGTTAGTTTTTCAGGCAATTTCTCCTCAATGACGATTATAGTTTTCAGCGATGGGAACAGTTCACTTTTTGCTAAGAGTTTCTCGGCTTTTGCAAACGTATCAACAACGATTGTCCTGAATGCAACAGCTTATTCTCGAAATGCATATGAGCAAATTGCTAGTTCTATTGCCTTGTTGAGAATATTTTATGCTAAGATTCAGTGAGCTTTTCTTCGTTTCGAATGTGACGCAATCTTTCCGAACATCGGAAGCTGCTCAAATCACTTTCATGACCACAAAAACTGTTCATTCCAAAAAATGAATTTTTAAACTGATTAGATATGATTCTAAATACTGATCATAAAATAAGTGCACTAAAATGAACATAGATCACAAGTTGTGTTGTTCTCGCTTATCGCTATCCATCATCTCTGATGTTTTATTCTCGAAGTTCTTTGATTGATTAAATTTGCAAAGTGTGTAAAAATTGTTCCGAAGACGTTTACAATGCACACAACAATAGAAACGAACGTCATTTGAATCTGCTGCAGAATGTACGTGATTGCATCGGGACCGAATGTGTCGTACAGGGGAACGATTGAGACTGACTGCAGCGTGCAGCCGAATGCACTGATAAACCATTCGGGACAGTTTCTGGCATAAATTCCGAGGTATGTTTCGTCGCCTTGAAAGATGACTTCCGTTATTTTTACAATAAATTTTTCCGACGAAGAATCATACAACAGCGGATGGTAATGTTCGTCGGGCAGCAATTTTTTCATCCGGGGGGAGAGGACCCAAACAAAGAAGTCGGGGAGCAAAATTGTCGGGAGACGGGGCCCCGTCGTGGACCCCGCCGAAAGTGTATATTATCGAGCACTAGCGGGTAGTATATATTATCGAGTGCAGCAATATCATTTTCCACTGATATCATCAATGATAATGCAGTCGTCAGTTTGCGAGTCTCGTCTTTACGATCGAATTCGTAATGTCATGACCTAATGTTCTCTTCTTGTTGATACCAGAAAATTGTCAACTGATGGTGATCGTTGGCATAAAATGATAATTCTAGTAAACAACTATTCTATAAACACGTTATCTCCTAACCATAAACTCCAAGTTTGGGTCTCCAATGAGCGCGTTATGAAAGCTTCATATCACGAGACCTTCTTAAATATATAACTCACTGCTATGGAAAAATTGAACTATCGCATATCACCGATGAATTTGTATGTTATTAGTTCAGAACGGTCTTATAATCATCAGCAATGCGGAATAAAGAATGCATCTTAAGTTGTTTATATAAGAGTCATTGAACGTTGTTTGAATCGCAAGAGTGCGTCTTTTTGTTGAGCGTTTAAATTTATTAACCAGGTTTGAGATGAAGCTTGTTGATAAGGGCTGATCCGAAGTCACGTGCTTTTTCGAGTACTTCCTTGTAAGTGAGATACTGATAGGGCTTTTTCAAAGCAGGACGGTACCCCAAGCAGCGAGCATTCCCATCGTCCAGCTGTATTTCAATGAGCAATTGATTACGTTCAGTGACAATGCATGTAACTCTGACAAATTTTTGAAGCGTCACATATTTTTCAAGTGAATCACGGCAGTTGCCTTACAAATACACATGA